AGGGACCCCCTGGGCACTGGCAGACGTGAGCCACCCCCTGGCAGGTATTTGGAGCTGGCAGCCATCAAGCTTCTTGCTGAGGGAGGGATGATCCAGCTCAGGCTGACTCCAGGGATGCTGTGGACAGGGAGCAGCTCCAGCCTTTCCCAGACATTTGCAAGGATCAGGCTCCTCTGCCAAAACCTTGCTCATGGTCCTTAGGGGTGACAGATCCCTGGGAAACTCCAGCACATCCTGATTCCAGCTGGGGGTGGGCAGGTCCACCAAGAACAGATTGAATGTTAAAATTCTGGCAAAGTGGAGGAGAGGACTTTGAACCCCTTCAGAAAATGTTTGAAACAACTTCTTCTGTTTTTGATGTTGTCACTTTCTCATTCTCCTGACAAATTTTGAACAATAAATGGTGACACTTTAAAGATGATGTGAATACCTGTTGGAGACGCCCTGAAATGTCTGTTAGATAAGTGACTATGCTTGAATTTGCTTTTGACGCTAGTTCAACTTTTCCATAAGTTACCATGATGTCTCAACCATGCAGACTAGAACCATTTTAGATATGTGAATATGTGCAGCACCAGTTTATAAGCTTTAAAGAATAAGAGACACATTGAATTTAGCATTAAACAGCAAGATGCAAGAAGGCACCAAGTGTCCTCTCCTCCCTTCAGGCATCCCGGCTTGTGCCGTGCCAGTCTCCCAGTGCCATCTGCTGTCTGTGCCGGCGCACCGAGGGCTGGCAGCGCTGCTCCTGCCCAAGGAGGAGCTCACTGGCCAAAGGAGCTGTGCAGGTTGCCCAGCGCCCCGCGGGGGTGGCTCCCACTCCCCGTGTGGATGGAGCCGAGTGTGTCATGGCTGTGTCATCCCAGAAGGCATCACACTTCTTCTTTTTGAGTTAAATGAGTAATACCAGGAGCTACGCATAGGAGAGGCGCCCAGAACAGCGACAGCTCAGCCTCAGGGGATTCCCAGGCTCGGCTGGAACAAGCCAGGACCGGCCTGAGTGGTGATGTCCCACTTCAGCCCGCTTGGAATATAAAGCAACATCATCCCATCCCATCCCATCCCATCCCATCCCATCCCATCCCATCCCATCCCATCCCATCCCAAATTCAGGGTATTTTTGATAACAACTCTGTAGCTGACCAGAAAACCAGAAAATATTTTCCTTTATGAACTTAATCTAGAGCCTCTTTGCCTAAAGTGTGTCCTCTCTCCCCATCCCGAGGAGGAGGAGGAGGTGCAGGACGACAAATGCACGCGTGTTTCCTCGGCTGTCCGAGCTGGAGTCGCTGCCAGCCCTGCTGCGGATTGCGGTGCTCAGGTCTCGGATGCCACCTCCTGGCTTTCCTGCTGAACTCTCCATGTGGTGACAGCGCCGACCGGGAGCGCATTTCTCATCCCACATCCCAAAAAACAGCGCCGTTAAAGCCTGCCTGGCTCAGAGCAGCTTTTGATATTTGTGGAGCTGACCGTGTACCAAAAAACAGCGCCGTTAAAGCCTGCCTGGCTCAGAGCAGCTTTTTGTTCTTTGTGGAGCTGACCATGTGTTTTTTTAACGCGATGGAGTTACCCCCTGTAATTAATGACCCTGAGGATCCCATCGCAGCAACACCTTGAGTCCCAAGGCCTCTCTGGGATGTCCCCATCCCTTTGGGGGTGGGACCTGTCCCCCCTCACCTTTCCCTAACAGTTATTTTTGGGGTGATTTTGTTACATGATCCCCGTGGTATCCGCTGTTTATCGTTGTTGGGATGCCAATTCCAAGTCCGTACAGACTCGTTGCTGGGTTGGGGGATCATTCAACAAGCAGATATTTGGCAGGGGGAGAGCAGAGGTGTTTTTGGAGCTGTGAGTGCAGTGATATCCAAGCAGAACTCCTGAGAGGGGGCACTGTGCCACAAGGAATCGTGAGGCAGCCAGAACGCTGTCTCCTCCCTGCCTGGTGTCCATCATTCCCAACCTCTTCCCGCCCTCCTGGTGATATTTCAGGCCTGGCTGAGCCTGCTTGTACACCTGCCAGCCCAGCCTGCCTCTTCCAGAGGTGCTAACGAGTTCATCCATCGTTGTACACCTCAGACAGTCATTTTATCTGCCCCACAGATGTGTGATGCTGCCTGACCACAGAGACTGCTCCTCACCCTCTGGGGGTGGACAACACATATTTGCCTGGGGAATCCCAGCAACATTGCATGAGATGCAGCTTCTTGCCACAGATCAAATCCACAGCTTCGGGCCCTTCCTGACATTGAGGGGCTGGAGCATGTCCAGGGAAAGGAATGGAGCTGGGGAAGGGGCTGGAGCAGCAGGAGCAGCTGAGGGAGCTGGGAAAGGGCTCAGCCTGGAGAAAAGGAGGCTCAGGGGGCACCTTCTGGCTCTGCACAACTCTTGACAGCTGGGGGGAAGTGGACTCTGCTTCCAGGGAACAGGGACAGGATGAGAGGAAAAGGCCCCAAGTTGTGCCAGGGGAGGTTTAGGCTGAGGGTTGAGGAAAATTTGTTCCCTGAAGGGGTGACCAGGCATTGTAAGGGACTGCCCAGGGAGTAGTGGAGTCACCATCCCTGGAACTGTTGAAAGATGTGGGAATGTTGGTTTAGTTGTGGCAGTGCCAGGGAATGGATGTACTCAATGATCTTAGAGGGCTTTTCCAGCCTTAAAACTTCTGCGATTCAAGGAAATCAGCAGGGAGCAGTAGCTGCTAAATCCTGCTGCAGGATGGAGCTGGGGCTCTCTGAGACATTTCCCCACAGCTGTGGCCGTTGTTCTCTGCCTGATGGACAAACAACAGGCAAGTCATCAGTGATGTCCAGAATGATCTCCAGCTGTGTCAGGCTTCAGCCTGAGAGAGGACAGGAAAGGGGACAGTGGCAGCAGGGCTGGCACAGGCCAGCAGATGGGAATTGCTGGGGTTTGATCCTTTACAAAAGCCTTTGAGTTGTTCTTCGTCGCATTTTCCAGAGAAATGGGTGAAAGGCACTGACATGACTGAGCTGCATCCAGGGACCCTTAACCATCAGCAGAGGTGTGTGGGACACGAGAGGAGCATCAGCGCTGTGGGATGTCCCTGCCCCAGAGACAGGAGCTCCTGTGACCAGCACATCACTGGTGAGTGCTGGTGTGAGATGCCCTGGACCCCTTCCTCCCTCTCTGGCTGCAGCAGGGACAGAGTTTTGGATCTGCCTCCCTGGCTGGCTGTGAGCCTGTCTGATCACCTCCAACGGGAGCAGTTTATCCAGCACAGCCATGCTGAGAGGCCCTTTTGCACCACAACAGCTGGATTTTCTATTCCCAAAGTGTTCCTTGCCTCGGTGCCCAGACCACACACTGTGGCAGAGCACAGCATGCTCAGGAGAAGAGAGTCCAAAAGCTCCAAGATTTATCTTTTGTCCCACCTTCTAAACAAGGAAAAGACGAGTTTTCAGTAAAGTGTAAAACAAAAGCATGACAAAAGCAGCCTTTTCCCCTATATTTTTTCCAGCCTCAGTGTCATCTTCTCTATTCCCTGGCAGGTTTATCCTTTGGCTATTGTCTGACATGCCCAGGCAGCACAAGGACCAAAGGTGCCACGGATCTGCGCCCTTTCCCTGGTGATGCCAACAGCTCACACCCCACCCAGAGCTTCCCTGCACCTCGAGCTTCGTCCTGTCTGGTGATGTGGATATTTTGGGGACACCCCGTGTCCCCAAACCGCCTCCAGGGCGTGTTTTTGAGCAGGAGCAGCCGGGGGGGCCGGGGCAGGGCACACCGCATGGGGACCCTCGCAGCAGACGTGACCTACTTTAGAGTCTCGGTGTAAAAGCTTCCTAGAGCCGGGCGTAAATTATTCATGGCCTGGCCATGTTAATGCATGTGTTAAAGGCTTTCAAAAAAAATAATAAAATAAAACAACCAAACCCGAGCAGGATAAAGTCTGCTGTATAATTTAAAGCCCTGCGCGCTGCTCTGCGGAGTGTTTCCACTCAGGTGAGCAGAGCTGCGAGATGCGGGCAGGGCAGGAAGGGCCGGCCCGCTGGAGCCGGGACTGGGGCTGGAGCGGGATGCAGGCAACACCCCGGGCGGGGGGAATATCCCCTGGGAAGGGGCTGGAGCGGGATGCAGGCAACACCCCGGGCGGGGGGAATATCCCCTGGGAAGGGGCTGGCAGGCCGGCTGCGGAGCAGGCCGCCCGCAGCCCCACAGCGAGTCACTTCCCGGAGCAGCAGTGCTGCTCCAGTCCATTCCCAGGCACGGGCCGCTATTTTTAGACCTGCCTTTTTTTCTTTTCTTTTTTTTTTTCCCCTTGCTTTCGTTCAGCGCTGCCCTGGAAGGCCTGGGGAGAGAGGAAAACACTGATCCCTGGGTTGGGAAGCTGCGTGGGAGGGCTCTGGAGAGCCCCAGCGCGGGGTCAGCGAGCCGGGCCATGGGGAGCCGTGAGGCGCAGCAGGGAGAGCCCCTGGCTCCAGGATGGAGATTCCCACCGGGACCAGCAGCCCCTGGCTCCAGGATGGAGATTCCCACCGGGACAAGCAGCCCCTGGCTCTTGCCCGGAGATTCCCACCGGGACGAGCAGGCCCCAGCCCGGGCCTGCATTCCCAGCGCCGCCTCAGCAGGTACAGATAAGGCACAGGAAGGCTGGAGCAGGGCAGGCGCACAGGGAATGCTCCAGCCATGGGGAATGTTTGCCTTCTATGGAGATCTCCTTCTGCACTGCTGGCACGGAGGAGAGGCCTCAGCCTCCACAGGCGCTGGGAGGGGGAACAAAAACATCCAGAAGAGCTCAGGGCTGCCCTGGCAGAGGCCTCCGGCAGAGCTCACAGCCCCAGCCCCCCTCGGCACATGCCCACCCAGGCAGGGCTTGCCCTGCTCCCTGCAGGATGGGGAAGAGCCCAGCTCCTGCTCCTCAGCTGCATCCCGAACCAGCCCGCATCCTTCCAGCCTGGGAAACGGGAGCAGGGAGGGGCCAGGCCAGCCCTGAAGCAACCCACACCATTCCCACAAGAAAACACCCATGACCACAGAAAAAGTCACAGCAGCCTCTGGGTATATATATTTTTTTTTTGGTTGCATTTCATATATTATCCAGTTTCACATTCTCATAGGATCAGCAATTATAGAGCAACTTATTCTCAAATCTTTTAATACAAGCGAGACAGCCATGGTCAGATAATACTTAAAGCACTTCAATACCAAGCAATAAGATGCTAAAACAAAAATTGCACAATTTCTTGTTTACTATGCCTGACTGAATCATTGGTACAGAAGACAACCCTGCTTTTTCAAGCTTTTAACTAAACATTAACTTATCTTACAGGATTACAATTTCTCTTTAATAATAATAATAATTAATTGCACACAAACACACAAGAAATTCTTTATGATGCATAAATATTTCCTTATTACACATGGTACAAAAATACTCGTACTTTTTTTTTTGTTCGGTATTCCCATAAGGATGGCTGATTATTTGGCAAGACTGGATGCTCTCCAATCAGAAGAATGTGGGGAAAAAAAAAGAGGTTAGAAATTTTACAGCTGTTCTATATATAGAAGTTTGAAGAAGGAAAAAAATAATATAATAACCCTGACTTTAAAACAAGCAGAATGGATGAGAACAAAAACCCAGTGCATCATACTTAAAAAAAAATAAAAGGGAAAAAAAAAAGCATTTTTCAAATTTTTCTGGTCGTCCTGGGGAGGGGAGGGTGGAGGTGGGAGAAGGGGTGAGACAAGGACAGTTAGTATTTCTCAAAGCCAAGTCTTCACCGAAGCAAGAGGAAAACCTTGATGGATCAATCCGTTGGGCCAAGACCTGTTGCTAACGGTTACACAAACGCTAGAACAAACAAACTTACACTCACACAGACACAAGTTAAGTGTTTTAATTCATGCCAGAAAACATGCAAAACCCATTTTGCCTTTCGATTCCTTCAGCCGAGCTGCCCCCGGGGCAGGGAGAGCCTGGGGAAGCCCAGGACCTGGCCCCCGGCTGGGTTTCAGTGCAGCCGGATGGCAAAGCTCAGGCAGGGAGGAGGTCCTGGGGGTGGCCTGAGGGAGGGATGGATGGATGGATGGAGAGAGGGTGGAGGCAGCGCACAGCCCATGGCTGGGGCCACGATGGCTTCACAGTCCAGGGAAAGGGGTGCTGGCAGCGCCGGGGGCAGCGCGGCAGGGCCAGGCGCCTTGTCCTCTGGCCACGGACCAAATCCAGAGGAGCCGGAGCCATCGTCCCTGGCACTTCCCTCTGCGGAGAGGCAGGGAGGAGGAAATGGTCCCTGGCACTTCCCTCTGCGGAGAGGCAGGGAGGAGGAAATGGTCCCTGGCACTTCCCTCTGCGGAGAGGCAGGGAGGAGGAACACAGGCCGAGGAGAGACACTGCGGGAGAGGAGCGCGGTGAGCTGGAGCCGTGTCCTCGGCTTGGCTTGGGGGTCTCCCTGCTCCCGTCCAGGAAACCCAACCACATCCTTGGCTGGGCGTGTGGGGCTGAGCCCAGGCTCCCATCCCTCCTCCCCCCAAGAGTGCAAGGAGCCCAAGGAAGAGCAAGACAAAGACCTGACTCCCAGAGTAATGAATTACTTACTAATGAACTAACAAAACTGACGAGACTTCCATCCTTGCTGGGTAGCTTCAGAGGGAGGATACCAGCGCATCTGGAAAAGAAAGCCACGGCAGAGGTCCATGATCCAGGATTACCTCAGCCAGAGTACAAACCTTCAGCTCCTTCAAGCCATGTGCAAGGTCCACGGAGCAAAGGTGTCTCCAGCAGGGGACAGGAGGCTCAGGGTGAGCTCCAAATACTGCTTGAACAGCTCTACCCTCAGCCAGCCAAAGGAGGCATCTCTTTTAAGATGCCACACAAGACCACACATTAAAACCAGACAACCTCTACAGGACATGTTTGGGGGAAGAAGTGGCTCATCCACTACAGCAGATGCCCACGGAGTTTTCCAAGCCCAAACTCTGCTACCAGGAGTGGCTCCAGGCAAACCACACCATGGGAAGAACTTGGAAGAGCTGCAAACCAGCAAGACTTGGAGGCTTCCCCAGCAGGTGCTTGCTGGCACATCTATTTCTCAGACCTGCTCCTTGCCAAGGAAAGGGCTGGATGGAGACCTAACAAGCAAACAAGGCACAGTAGCTGAACAGACACTTTCCAGCCCCTTAGGGGACACAGTGAGCTGGCAACACCCAGCCCCACAGCCTGGGACATCCAGATGATCCCATCTGGTCAGCAGGGTCAGTGTGTCTTGCTGGGCTGCAACAGCAGCTCCCTGCCTGACAGCAGCAGGAGACAAGCCCATGCCACTTGACTGAGCACAGATCCAGCAGCAGGAACAGCAACTGGAACTGGGTCCTGCTGCTGGAGCACAGCAGCCACCCCCCACTCCTCCCTCCCCAACTGCCAGGAGAGAAGCACGGCCTCAGCACGTTCAGGGCTCTGGGAACCAGCACAGTGATGGACTTGGTTCTAAGATGGGAAGAAAAGTAGCAGAAAACCCCCCCAGAAAACTTCCCCTGTCCCATTCATCCTGACACAGATGCCCCCTCACCCAAACAAGCCTGGCTGGATGCTCCTCTCCCAGGGATGTGCAGCAGACTGCCACAACCTCAGCAGTGCTGCCTGCAGCAGCCAGAGGCACTGGGGCTGCAGTGCCAGGAGCTGCAGCCACACGAGCTATGGGCCTTGAGTCCTCCTCCAGGAGATGGCTCCTAAATGAGCCCTGCCAGGCAGCAGCAGCTCTGTCCCCACAGGAGCCTCTCATCAGCTCAGAACAAGGCCAGTTTGGACAAGACTTGAACAACCTGCTCTAGTGCAAGATGTATGGGATTAGTTTAAGGTCCCTTCCAACTTGAACCATTCCATGGTTCCATGATCTGGTGGACTCTTGCCAGACACCTTCACAAGGCAAGTGGGTGCCACTGAACCAGGAGTGGCTCCAGGCAAACCACACCATGGGAAGAACTTGGAAGAGCTGCAAACCAGCAAGACTTGGAGGCTTCCCCAGCAGGTGCTTGCTGGCACATCTATTTCTCAGACCTGCTCCTTGCCAAGGAAAGGGCTGGATGGAGACCTAACAAGCAAACAAGGCACAGTAGCTGAACAGACACTTTCCAGCCCCTTAGGGGACACAGTGAGCTGGCAACACCCAGCCCCACAGCCTGGGACATCCAGATGATCCCATCTGGTCAGCAGGGTCAGTGTGTCTTGCTGGGCTGCAACAGCAGCTCCCTGCCTGACAGCAGCAGGAGACAAGCCCATGCCACTTGACTGAGCACAGATCCAGCAGCAGGAACAGCAACTGGAACTGGGTCCTGCTGCTGGAGCACAGCAGCCACCCCCCACTCCTCCCTCCCCAACTGCCAGGAGAGAAGCACGGCCTCAGCACGTTCAGGGCTCTGGGAACCAGCACAGTGATGGACTTGGTTCTAAGATGGGAAGAAAAGTAGCAGAAAACCCCCCCAGAAAACTTCCCCTGTCCCATTCATCCTGACACAGATGCCCCCTCACCCAAACAAGCCTGGCTGGATGCTCCTCTCCCAGGGATGTGCAGAGATGTGCAGCAGACTGCCACAACCTCAGCACTGCTGCCTGCAGCGGCCAAGTTCTCTCCCAGAGGCACTGGGGCTGCAGTGCCAGGAGCTGCAGCCACACGAGCTATGGGCCTTGAGTCCCCCTCCAGGAGATGGCTCCTAAATGAGCCCTGCCAGGCAGCAGCAGCTCTGTCCCCACAGGAGCCTCTCATCAGCTCAGAACAAGGCCAGTTTGGACAAGACTTGAACAACCTGCTCTAGTGCAAGATGTATGGGATTAGGGTTGGAATGGGATTGCTTTAAGGTCCCTTCCAACTTGAACCATTCCATGGTTCCATAATTTGGTGGACTCTTGCCAGACACCTTCACAAGGCAAGTGGGTGCTACTGAATCAGCTCCCAGCTGGCCCCACACCTCACTTCATGGCACAGCATCCCAGTCAGCCCATGGGAATCAAGGGCATGGATGTTACCAAGACCCTCCTCCCCAGGGAGGGGTCCCACCTAGTGCCACACCAAAGTGCCACTCTCAGAGTCTTTTCACTTCTCCTTCAGCCTGGGAGAGGGACCTTTCCTGCCCAGCCAGGGCCACCACTCTGTGCACAGACACCACCCAGAAAGTCCTGGCATGGGCAGCAGCACCACTGGCAGCTTACAGGGCCCCCACAGCAGCTGCCAGAGCAAGGACAGGGGTTTCTTGTCCCCTGTCACCAGGAGGTGCTTGCTCAGCAGAGCCACATCTCCTCTGCAGTCGAACTCCCTGGCCAGTGTCTCCCACTCCACACCCCTCCCCTCGACAGCTGGAAGCAGTTTCCTCCAGCCCAGCAGTAACAGGAAACTCCCCCTTCCTTCACAAGGCTGTGAGTGCTTAACCCTGAGAGCTGCCTCCACCCCACGCAGCCCCGGCCAGGCCATACAGGAGCCAGCACAGCCCAGCCTGGTGGCCCTCCATCCCGGCCTCAGAGCCACCTTCTGGCCCACCTGCAGAGCTCAGCACCTCCACTTTGAACAGAAATCCCATTTTTCTCTTAAAACACACACTGTTCGTAGCTCTGGTGCTAATAAACCATCACTGCAATGGACCACGCCTCGTTGCCTTCCTCCTGCAGCTCTGCAATGCTCACACACCAAACCCACCCAGTGTGGCCCCACAGGCCACCAGCCCAGCCCTGCATTCACTGGAGCCCCACAGGAGCCGCTACAGACGTGACAATCTGGGTACAACCCAAGGCCCTGACATGCTGGCAGGGTGAGGGAATGGCCTGCCAGGCCTTTCAGCCTACAGAAGGATAAAGGGCTTGATGGGATCAGGCAGGAACTCAGTAGGAGGGAGGTTCCCAAAGGCAGCAGAAAACACTGGAAGCAGCAGATAGCCAAGAGGACACTCTCTAGGCACCTCTAAGGCATTTCTCTTCACACCCCTCAAAATACTACATCTGTCAAGGAGGAAACTGAGAACTAATGGGGATGTTCAGCACTGGGTGAGGAAAGCAGAGCAAGAGAGGCTTTTACTGGAAGAGACTTTGTTGTTTCTGGAGAGGCATTAGCTCACAATTGGAAAGGAGTCTGGTCACACCACCAAGACATCTCCTGCTCACAGGGATGAGGCAGCCACTGCTGGCCAACTGCTGCAGCCTCATGCTGCTGCCTTCAACATCTGTCCCAGAAACAGCTGGAGAGGAGAAATGTGTGCCTCTGCCTGCCACCTCCCAGAGGCCAGGAACCTCTCCCTTCCTGCAGCACAACACCAGCAGCTGCCTAAAAGTCACAATGAAATTATAAATGGGGCAGAGAAACAGCTCATCAGAGCTTCACTCTCCCTGTCAAAACCTCCTCCCAGTTGCCCTCAGAATTTAAGTATCCAATTGTCCACCATCCTCAGGGAGAGCAAATCCTTCAGAAGAGGGGAAGCAAGGACACAGGTCCCTCCTCAGAGCACCTTTGGCTTGGAGGATCTGCCTTTCCTCCTCAGTTACCTCTTGGTCTGCAGCCAGCCCCAGCACCTTAGAGCTCTGATCTGTCTCTAGCTGGAATGATCCCCAGGGACCACTCCCGGTGCAGGCAGGCACAAAGCACTCCCTGTGCTCCTGGGAGCTGGTAGGGTCCAGCTAACACATCCAAGAGCTGCATCTTGCTGCCAAGCTGCTCAAGTGCAGAGCAGCACTGCAGGTCACCGGCTGTGAGCCCTGGGCAGCCCCTGCTGAGCAGTGAGAGCTGCTCTGCTCCCTCTAGAAACACAGCCCATGGAATGTGCCCCAGGCAGGTGAGGACAGGCAGCACAGGCACCACCTCACCTGTGTGGGGACACGATGAGGTGTGGGACCAGAGCAGCTCAGGCTCTGGAACCAGATGCAGTGGGATCGAGCCCGTGCATCACCCCAAGCAGCTCTGGGGACGGAGAGCTGGAGGATCAGCACAACGTCCCACACCAGGGCAAGGAACATGTGGGACAGAGCAGGAACTGATTCATCCTCTCAGGAACATTCTAACAGGCATGCATCCATCCATCAGTCCAACACCTTGCACCCCTATGGCTCAGGGAGACACACCCCTCTCTGAGACTGCAGCAAACAAGCATTTCCTCTTTTACAGCAAGTTGGGTTGTTTTCTTTTGGATTGAGCCCGCCAGGGAGAGCCACTGTTGGCCACAAGTCTCTTCTGATGGCCCATCAGTCCCACCACTTAGCCAGGACAGCTGCTCAGGAGCATCCTCTGCTTGGAGGATGCTCAGAACTTCTCCTGCCTGCTTTTCCCTGGCTAGGAGGGAACTGCTGGCTTGGGGCTGCTTGGCCAGCTATGCCACCTCTAAGTCACTGGAAATTAGAAAGTTACCACAAGCATGAACATCTTGAACAAGAGGCTTCACATCTCTGGGAAGCATGGAGCTTGCCCAGAGAGAAATAATCCTGGGAAGTCCCTACACAACAGCACCAACAGCCAACGAGTTATTAGGGACAGAAAATTCATCCTGTCTCCAGTCTAGGGCAGGTCTGTCAGCTTAGCTGCAAGGCAAAGGGGGTTTGGAACCAACCTCTGCTTTCATCAATGGGATCAGCCTCAACCCAGCACCAGGAAGTCCCAAGGTCCTTCCAGGCTCTTGCACAACCACACAGCTATGATCCAGGACTGCTCCCTCCACCCACCACTCACTCTGACAGGTCCCAGCAGAGACCCACCTCTGCCATCTCCTCAAGGTCTCCAGTGGATGCTTCAAGGGAACCTTGGGCAGCCCTCTCCCAAAAAGATTGGCATCTCTATGCCCTCAGGCCTTGACCTGGCTGACTGGCCTTGGAAACACCCACCAGGGACTCCAGGCACCCAACACATCAGCTGTGTCCCCAGCAACACCACGTGGCCATGTTTTTACGAGACAATCCTGCATCCAACCTGCTTCCCATGGCAAGTCCTGCCTAGAGCAGAGTCCTGCCCTCATGGGTGCTGCCACAGCTGGAAGCATTTCTGCAAAAGAGTTCTAGAAGCATGAATAGCCCTGGCATCCCCTCCTGCCCACTCATAGCCTGGTTTAGAGGCACCCCAAAGCCAGTGGTTCCACCTCAGAGACACAATGCAGCCCAACTCCATCCTACCAGCAATGGGCAGATCTGTCTAGCAGGACCAAGCAGAACAAGACAAGCTGTACCATTGTCTCTATGCCTGTGTCAAGCTCTTCACATCTTACCAGGAGGGAAAATTAAAACTCTGCGCGTCTTTGCACCTCAGAGTTTTCTAAGGACAAAGGCAGACCTGGGCCCTCATCTTTGGTGGCTCCTTTTCTTATCATCACTTCCACAGAGAGAGGAAAAGGTCTGCTCAGAGCCACTGCTGGAGAACTGAACCAGGGCTCATTTCCTTCAGTCAAACACCAACCATCCCCCTGCCAACCAGTCCCAGACCCTTCCCTCTTCCCAAGCTCCCATCTCCTACACCACACAGCCCTCTCTCCCAGGGCTGCTGATTCCCTCCGTTACAGCTCACACAAGCTGTGTGCTGCCTGTGATTTCAGGCTGCAAGAGAGAAGTCAAACTCCAGGTAAGAACTGGCTCTGTTTCCATTACCAGAGAGGAAAGCAGTGAGATTAGACCCACGACTGGGGCAGGGTCTGTCCCGGTATGCGGTTCTGGAACAAAGTGACCGGCAAGTGCTGTTGTCTAAGGTGCCCACTAAAATTTAGTCGTGTGCTATCAACTACCACGTCACTCACCTCCCCCACCGTGTGCAGGAGTGAGGTCAAGGTGTATTTCTGGTTGCCCTCGAGGGGTCAAGGTTGGGGAGAAACCAGGTTTGTTTCAGGCCGAGTGGCAGGGTGGTCTCTGCCCCAGCTCAACCGGGCTGCTCCCCTCCCAGGGGCAGGGCCTGGCCGAGCCTGGCTCAGCTGGGAGGAGCTGATGTAAGATGGTGCCATGCTGTGTGCGCCATGTCATGTGCTGCCAAGTTGGAGATGTGGGTTAGAAAGAAGGCCTGGCATCTCATTCCCCAGGCTCTGGTGGGTGGGTAGCGTGAGGCCCATGCACTGGGTTGCCAAGGAGATACGGGCTACAGAGATGGGCAGAAGCTTGCAAATCCCACAGTGCACCTTGGAGGAGAGATGGTTACCTTACCAGTCTTTCCAGACGTGGCTGCCATCATGCTTAACACTTCTAGGAATGGAGCTGTAGTACAGCCACTCCACTAGCTGCAATAAGGCATCACTAGGGCGTCCCATCTCCAGGGACAGCTCTGAGCTTCGGGGCTAGCCTGCGCTGGCATCATGGCTGGAGTTCACTAGGGACATCAAAGGAGGGATTTGAGAGAGGGTGGGAGGGAGGGAAGGCAGATGGGGCAATCTTAACGTCAGCAGAGTCCCCGGCAGGGCAGGGTCAGGCTGCAGTCACAGCTGCAGCAGCCTGGTGCCCGCCCGGAGCATCGCCAAGGCACGGACGGGCCAGGAGCAGCAGCCATCGGCTGGGAGTGGCTTACCAAGGGTTCCCAAGGCCAGGCCAGCCTCTCACCACCTCCTGCCCCTCATCCCTCCTGCCAGCCCTCTGGGCAGCTCTTCAGGAGGCCAGGCCAGGCCACCTCCTCTCCCCGTTGCTGAACTCAGCTCTGCAAGAACACGAGCCCTTCAGGTTTAAATCTCTTGTGACAAGATCTTGGTTTAGCTACATCCTCCATCCTCCAGCTTCTTGCCTGCCTCAAGGTTGATCACTGTGGAGCTGCTACAGCTCTGGCCATCCCCATGGATGCCCTCCAACCAACACCAGTCCACAGTGGTTCCAGGAGGAAGAACTGTGGCTGTTCTGGGGAATAACCCATAAGCCCACCACATGAGTGAGCCAGCCCCTCCCAATGAGGGCAGAGGGCTCAGCACACGGGGACTAAGGGCACAGCTTCCAGCCCAGTTTGTGAGCAAAAGTCATCTCCCTGTTGTGCTCCACCCTCAGCTCTGCAAGGGACAGGGCTCCAGCCCAGAGCTGCCAGCAGGAGTAATGTTTAACCCCACTAAATTTTATTGGTAACATATCCTGTGCCAGGACATGCCCCTGCAGGGTCAGCACCGGCTCAGCACAGCCAGGAGCGGCTGGGACTGCCCAGCAGCCTCTCTGGAAAAGAGCTGGGTCCAGGCACAGCCTGGAGGGGCTGCACTGGCTCCCTAAGGCTTGAGCCCATCACCACCCATGCACCCCCTTGGGCAGGGAGCTCTACCTACACAAGGAGCTCCTCAGGTCTTCTGATGAGGCCAGACAACCTCTTTGGAAACCAGGAGCTCACTAGTTCCTGCACTAGAGGGCAGGAACTGAGACCCCAAAGGGAAAAGATGTAGCTGGAGGCCTCCTTAATACCCTCCACTCTACAAGAGCAGAGTTTTCTCCCCAACTTTGCACCATAAAATTTGGGTTTCTAACCCTCACACTCAGGGTCCCTATACAGTCACCAGTGACCACCCTGGAAGAAACTGCAGTAAAAGTTTCACCTCCCTCAACCACCTCAGACAGGCCAGAGGGGTTGATTTTTCCTGGTCCTCCCTTCCAGGGACAATTCAACCTTACACACACAAGGGGCAGGAAGACACTTCTCTCCTGGGCCACTGAGGAGCACAGCACAGCCTTGTAGTTGTGGGCACCACCACCAACTTCTGGAAAACACCAGCAAGCACAACCTTCCTAGTGAAGAAACACCTCCACTCTGGAGGTCCTTGGAAGAACATTCCAGTGCTCCTCCTGGTCCTGTGCTGAACCCCTATGTACTTCTCCCTATCCCTCTGGAGCTTCAGCCCAACAACAGCTCACCTGTAGAAGGGCAGAAGCAGGAGAGATCTGCAGGTGTGAGAGGGGCAGGACAGAGGACAGGAGTCTGCATCCACTCCACATGGCATTTGGGAAGCAAGCTTGGCTTGAAGCTGGGCAGTTACCATCACAAAGCTTGCAGGAAGCAACAGGATGCTCAAGGGCCAACACAGCTCACTGCCAGCCAGGATGGCAATGTGAGAGGACACAGCTCCTCCTGCTCTCCATTTAAGCAGGGAAGAGTAGGAGTCAAGAGCCTGCCTGGCAGGGCAGGGAGCAGAGGTTAAGCCCCAATGCTCAGTCCCACTGCCCCGTCTCCCACGGCACCACTACGGGAGCAGACACAGAAGCAGGCAGAGCACAGCTGGCTGGGCACACTGAGCAGGGCAGGGACAGGGCTTCCAGCTTCTCCTGGACAAGTGCTTCAACCCAAGCACCTTAACTTGGAAGTAGGACACTGCTACTCTGTTTTGACTTTCCCTTTGCATGTTCATGGTTTCAGGGTTTATGTGGTCTCTGTACATTAAAGCATCTGTGTTAGAGCAGTACAGGCATCCCTACATCCTCAGCTGTCAGCAAGCAAACCTGGGGACACAGGCAGCTGGCTGCACCACCATCTGCACTTCCAGAGGCTCCTGCATGGAATGACTCTCCCCACTAGCCTGTACCGAGGGTGGCTAACACCCTGCTCCATCACATATCCTCACTCTGGCAAGGCTCTAGTCACTTATCTCCTGCAGGACACCCTCCTCCAGCTTTGGAAGTGTTTGAGTCATTAGGCTGAGCCCCTCAGTTTAGCACGGGGCTAAGCCTGTTGCTTTGCTGTGACTTGGGATGACATTTCATAGGCATGTTATGTGCAGGAAGTGTTTCCTCCCAGCAGTCCCTCAGTGTAGTTCTCTGGCCATGGGGAGCAACAGGACCAGCCAGAAATGGAGCCCTGACTTCCTCCCACTGGCCTGCCCCTTGCAGGAAAGCAGGGTCAGAAACCACCAGCAGCTCTGCCTGCTCTGGGCTGCACAGACCCCTCCTGGGGCTGCCCCGCAGCCGGAGCAGCTCTGCCCAGGAGCCAAGGTGCAGAGGCCAGGGTGGAACCGGCCAAGCGGAGCCCGCGGGCACGGGAGACAGGAGGGCCCAGCCCCGCACGGGAGGTGGGAGCGACTCACCTGAGCGTGAAGAGCGGCGGCCGCGGCAGCCGCGGCCGGGTAGGTGAAGGCGGCGTGGGGGATGGCAGGGGTCAGCTCCGTGGTGTACAGGGGGTAGGGAGCCCACGCTTCCGGCGACGCTGGGATGAGAGCCGCTCCAGTCAGGTCATCTAGACAGGAGGGGGACACAAGGAGACAGCGTCCCAGCACTGGCCCCAGCTGCCTGCTTTGGGGACAGGCTCTGGACGCCCCACCCCAGGCTAAAGCTTTGCGCTGCTGTCTTGATCAGGTATAAAATCTGTGTGCACAGCTGCTGTTCCAGCCTCCCAGCCTCGACAGGAGAGCCCAGGAATGTGTCACATTACAGCCCTATGTGGGCTTTGGACACTGGTCCGCACAGGCAGCAGAAGGTGGTGCCACAGGACGCAGGACAGGGGACAGGGGGCTCAGAGCCACATTACAGGCCACCCCATAAGCCTCAGCAGGGCTACTCAGCCCACCAGGCTGCACAGAGGGTGATGGCACAGGACTCATCCTTTATGCTCACATTTAGGGATGCTTTAAAAGATTTATAGTATCACTTGAGCTACCAAACCCAACTTTCATGTCTCAACAGTTCTATGTTGCCCAGCTGCCTGTTACTCTCCTGTGGCTCCAACATCCTGCTGGCCTCCCTGCCCCTGGCAGATCTCAGGCAGAGCAGAGGTGGGGCTGGGCTCTTTCCACTGTGGCAGCATTCTCAGAGTTGTGCATCTCTCAGGTTGGAGCCGTGACCTCCAAGCCCCTCCCAGCATACTCACAGGGGTCCCGTGCAATGAAATGTGCACCCAAGGCAGGGTGGATGTTGGTGGGGTTCGGTGTGGCCATCAGCTTGCTCTTGGCCATCTTTGTGTTGGCTTTGGCGAACTCTAACCGCAAGGTCTGGGGGTTCTCGGGGTCGAAGCGGATGCCCTGTCACAGGAGAGATCACAGGGGTTTCTCAGAGGCGAAGCTCCAGCCCAAGCACAGGCTGTGGTTATTCATGGGGCAAAGGCCAACTGAGGAGCCAAGGCCACCACACTGCAGTCACGTGCCCAGATTTTCATCACCTCACTGCTACAGTCAAGTTCCCACATGCTTTTATTTTTACATTTATCTGGCCAGGACTAACATTAGACCCAGGACCACTGTTTCCAACATGAGGGACACAGTTCTGCTCTGTGATGTGCAGTTCATCAACCACTACAGCAGGGATGGATATCAACATGGCTCAGGAAAGGTCTGTCTGCTGAAGCTGGGGTAACTGTCTATAGTGGAGCTGGAATTACCCCCATCTGTGTGGGAGCTCCCATCTACACCTTCTGCCAGCCTCAGCAGAGGCATTAGCAGGTGTCAAAAAGCCCAAGGCAAGGTCTACAGCACAGCAGAACCATGCCTTGCTGACCAGATCCCACCAACACTCCTGCAGGATGGGGATCATTTTGGGCATCCTTTCCATGCTGACCATCCTCAAGATATTTTATGGAGTCACAGCAGGTCCCCACACCCTCAGAGATGTCTTCCAGTGGTCAAAAACCACATAGAGACAGCTTGCATCCATTTGCCCAGGCTGATGTCAGCCTTGAACAGCCCTCCTGCCTCCCTGGTGGGATGCTGCAGGACCATTTCACTCCCACAGTCCAGGGCACAGCTGGTAGAGGAGCCTGGCCTGTCTCTGCCCTCAGCTCAGGGTCCAGCAAGGCACGTGGCCCCCAGCCCCTTCAGCCCCCAGCACTCTGGGTACTCACATTCAAGGCGTTCTTGGCTGCTTCAGCACCAGCCCGGCTGTCGAAGGTCACAAAACCCACTGGCTAAAAGAAACAACACCCATTTCAGTTTGGAAGAGTCTTCCAGCTCCTCAGGCTGCCTTGCCACCCCAGACAATCAGGAGAAGAGAGCATCCTAAGCTGCACAGGGGCTTCAAACAGAGTTGGGGTCATTGGCTCAAGATTCCTGCTCTGCATCTGCTCCCACCACAAATGCTTCGGTGTTCTTACATGTGGGGACACTGCTCACCCTGACAAGCCCCCAGCATGGCTACCCCTGCCTTGATCAGCAAGGGAGAGGGGAAGGCTGATGGCAGCACCAGGTTTGGGGCTGAAGCCTCAGGGCTCACCCAGGGCAGCAGGAGAAGACATTCAGAACATGCTGGGTCAGTAGAATCCCGTTGTGCAATTGGTGCTGGCCCAGACAGTGCTTTACACAGTCAAATGGGATCTCCCCTCTCTCCCCTCCTGCCATGTCCAGTTTGATAGCAAAAGCCAAAACCACACAGGCTGGAATGAGGTACCTGCTTTGAAGTCAGCTTGATCAGTGACCCCTCATAACCCTGCAAGAGAGAAGAAAGCAAGTCAGTGTCAGGCTCCTGAGCAGGCCATGCTCCAACCAAGACACAACACGACAGCTCCAGGAGCTCCTGCAGCACCAAGCCCTCCACAGGGCAGGGCCACAGTAGGAACAGGGACAATAACACTTCTTTTCCACCAGTAGAGAAGATTGGGGAAAGAGCACTTATTTTAGCTCTTCCATCCGGGCCCTTTGGGAAGGAATCCCATTTTCTAGCTCTTCATCCAGCTACAAAGATGAGTACCCTGCCCTGGCTAGTGCCTAGAGAAAGGAGAGCACCCTCCCTGTGCTAGAGGAGTGCAGACAAGGGAACCCCACTTGCCATAGGTGGTTATTAGAGAAGGATGGAGAGTTTGGGGGATGAGGACACATCCTCAAGGAAGGGCTGGTGCAGCTGAGCAGCAGGGCTGACCAAGCAGGTTTCATCAAGCTTAGAGACAGCAGGATTCCAATGGCAGGCTCCAGCTGGAGGTTCCCAGTTGAGCACAAGTCATGGCATCCCGTGCTGGCTTCAGGCTCCCATGTCACCCCTACCTCCCCTGACAGACCTTTGGTGCCAGGGCATCCACAAAACAGCATCTGTCCCTCCAAAAACCAGATCTGAAGACGTTCTTACCTTGAATGGTCGGAAGAGAAGGTAGAGCTCTCTGGGTTTGATATCCACAGGAAGGCCACTGACAAACAGCGTCCGTACCTAGGGGAGAGGCCAACCAGCTGTACTGACAGGAGATGTTTGGTGCCCAAGCAGGAGCACAGAGCACAGCTCAGAAGTGCACTAAGAACAGGACACCTCACATCAAAGGTCCACTAACCCTTCCCTGCATTAGGGAAGTGTTGTCCAGGATAAAACACACCCAGCCCTTTGACCTCCACCTCAGAGGATTGATGCCTTTACAAAAATTCAGTCCCTGGCATCATGGCCTGGGTTGATGAAGGCATGGACACCAGTCCCACAGCCTGAGAGGACCTTGATGGCTAAACTAGCAAAGACCACACGCTGCCATAAGAACTAAGTTTGACACATCCCTGAGGTCCAGAAGGGAACAGTGCAAAGCCCAGTTCTCTCCAGATCTTTCTACAGATCACATGCTAGATCTCCCCTCCTCAACCTACCCTGGCACTTTAATTCCATCACCAGTTCAAAGACAGCCTTCAATTTTGAGAAACACCTCACTGCCCCACTTGGAGCTCTTGACTTCTGCAACAGCCCCAGAATATCACTGCAGGAAGATATCTGGGCCCATCCCAGCTCTTTCCCCAGCACACCTCAGACCCTTCAGAAGTTGCTCCCAAACCCCCTCTCAGAGCAGTTATTCTGCTGTGCCCAGCCAAGAGCAGCTCTGCTGGGCCAAGCCCCTGTAGCCACCTGCTCTTCCCAGGCCGTTCAAGTCATGGACCAAGTCCAACACACTCATGTCAAAGCAAAAAACACAGTGCCAGGGGAGGATTTCAATAGATAATCCATTAAAATTATAGATAATAGTTCACTTGAATAACCAGGAAATGAAAGTGCTGAAGGCTCATGGCCTGGGAGAACTCTGCTCAAGAGACTCATCAAGAGCACCTTCTCCCTGCACGCTGCCTGGCAGACCAATTCCATAGGAAGCAGCACGATGAAGCTGCAGAGGCTTCTTGTAAATCAGCACAGAGCTGCAAAGGGAAGTTATGCACAACCAAAGTCATGAAGACACTTGTCATTATTAACAAGGAGCAGGAGCCCCAGGCCAGAGCTCATCTCCTGGCCTGCTTCCAGCACAGAGTGACCCCATTATGTTTGCAGGGCAGGAGGGCTCTGCTCCCTGGTTTGCTTTGCTCAGCCATTTCCCCTTCTCCAGACAGAGCGGGCTGTGTCCAAAACCACTTTTACCAACATATGCTTGCCCTGCTCCTGGGCTGGAGGCAGAGCTGGAAACACAGGAGCCCCTGCCTCTGTAATTCTTTGGGGGCAGCCAGATAGAGACTCCACCACACAGGGAAGTTTCTCTTACATACATGAAAACTCACCTCTTTGAGCTCCTGTGCCCAGGACAGTCCTGCCAAGGCAGAAAAATGCCACTCCCAGGGTAAAGCCCCTCAGGATGAACAGTGACTGTGAAAGGCTTGGGGTGCTCCTGCTCTCCTGTGCATGCTGAGACTAAGGACTGCCACTGTCCCCCACTAGACTAGTGTGAGGAGCCCTTCTCTGGCCCAGCACAGCTCAGGAGCAGAACCAGAGCACCCTTCCCATCCCCTCCCCTGACCCTTCAACATGGATGGCTGTACCACACACTCCTGCTCTGCCCTGCCTTGGGAAGCAGGATGCCATGTGGAGCACTCCATGAATACTTTCCAAGCCCAGGCTCAGTCTGACAGGCTCCCCAACCATCGCACCCCACATCTGGCGCTTTAAGGCACCTCTCCAAGGCCACCCCATGCCTGGACAGAGGGGACAATGCCACTGTTTCTTGGCTTGCTGGCTGCCTCCAAGACTTCAGCCCTTGCACTCCAGCACGAGCTCCACAGAGCACTCGCAGTGTGCTCCCAAAAGACCCACGGCCATCTCTTGCAGGGGAGGACTGCAGAGTGTGGTGGCACACATGTGCCTCAGCCATGTGAAAGCATTGTCCCTTTTCAATATTTCAGGATCCAAGTGCTCTCACAGCCCCCAGAATGGATTTTTCTTCCGAGCAGACAGAAATCCACATCCCTGTTGGGTCTCTAAATGGCCCCGTGACGCGTCACTTGGTAAGTCCTTGCGACAGGCGTGACAGGATGGAAGATGCCTGGTGGCTCAGGGAAGGGGGAGCCAGGGCTGGAGCCCTCACATCAGCCTGAGCACAGCGAGGCAGGTGCCCAGGAAAGCTCTTTGTCAGAGGTAACAGGCTCCCAGTGCCAGCCCCATAAGGACAGGAGCAAGAAATCTCCTCTCACTGCCCAAGTTTCCTTTTGGCCTCCAAGTCCTGTTTGTCACCATCCACAGCATTGAAAAGGCATTGGAAAGCCAATGCCACAGCCCCCAGCAAGGGCTAGCATTGCCCTAAAGCCTGGACAACGTCCTGTTTGTCACCATCCACAGCATTGAAAAGGCATTGGAAGCCAAGCCACAGCCCCAGCAAGGGCTACCATTGCTCCAAAGCCTGGGCAATTCCAAATGCCACCAGCCAACCTCTCCAAAGAGCATCTCAAGACAAACTAAGAAAGCCCCTGCTCAGAAGAGCTTGTTGGAAGCAACAAGACCAAGCAGTTGGTTTTACCAGATCTCTGCAATTCAGCACATCCATAAGTGATCTAGAGAAGGGTAAGGAAAGAGGGAGCCCAAGTTATTCAGTGAAGGGAGGGTGAGGCTGGTGAGAGACATCTCAGCCAGATGTTTGAGCAATATTTTTAAGGGACAGAGTGAGCTAAGCCAGGGGGAGGTCACTTCCAACACCAGGAATAAAGCAAAGGAGATTTAGGTTACTCCACAGGAGAAAAGCAGGAGGCAGCTCACCAGTCTGAGCCTCTTGTGCACTGTGGACAACCTGGTCCAGCCTCTTCCCCTGCTCCCAAAAGAGGAAGCTGTAGATGAGGGCAACAGGATCCAGACAAGCATCTTCCAGTGGATTAACCAAAGTGGGACTCTCCAGTCAGGCCAAGTCCTGCAGGCTTTGAGAGCCCAGTAGTACCATGCGGAACTGACAAATCCAGGCATCCAGCTCTCATACTCAATGTGCCACAACAGGATAACTTCTGCTAAAACATGCCCCACTTCAAGTCCATGCCACCCAACACCAAATCCAGCCTCCCCCCAGTGCATCTGGAAAAGGCACAGGACAAAAACCACCAAACCAAACCACCATCAAAAACATCCATCCAGGGCTGGATCAGGAACTGCCTGGGCTAAACTACATGTCCAAACTCCAGCAAGAGCAGATCTCCAGGAATGCCATGTTCTTCTGCTCATTCTTAGGCTCTGATGCAAGTGAGAGCAGTCACATCCCACCCAGGACTGATCTGAACTGGACACATGGGCATGGGGAGAAGCAGGACAGGGAACAGCTCTCACCTAGGATAGCCCAGCAGAGTCACACTGCTGCAGGCCCTGCAGAAAACATCCTCCCTTCCCCATCCCTGCCCCTCTGGGGATGTCCCCAGTCCAAACACCTGATAAAGATGGAGGAGAGCCACGGAAAACAGGATTCCTGCCAGGAGGGACAAGACCATCTAGGCCATCTCTAGAGAGGGAGGATCCCAGCATAGCTTCCCACGCAGGGGGAGGAGGGACATGGACAAACCACTTAGCCCTGAGTTCTCAGTGCCAGTCCTTGCACAGCTGCATCTCCCCAGAGAGACACACACCTCGGGCCAGCCCAGCCAGTTTACTCCAAGGCTGTAAAGGAGGCAAGCACAGCACCTGCCTTGTGCTGCCACAGCCTCAGAGCTGCCAGGAGACAAGCACAGCTCCCACAGCTGTTTGGGGTAAGGGCTCTCAAAAGAGTTCTGAGCTGTTCTGCAGCCCAGAAAGGGTTGAGTTATGTCAGAAGTGTCTGATGCAAGGGCACAGGTACCCACCCCCTGAAGCTGCAGTGACTGGGGATGTTTTGTTAGAAGACTGCTCTGAATCCCCCTCCCAGAGCCAGCAAGGCCAACCCTCCCCTTTGGAGAGATCAGCCCTTTAACTCCATCACCCACAGCACAGCTTGGGCTACTCCAGCCCCCCAAAACTGGCCTGGTGCTGGATCCATACTTCCAGCACCTGCAGCACAGCAGTGGCTCGGAGACACCTGAGCACAGGTACAGCAGGAATGTGCACTGATGCCTCCCCCACACTGTGCCCTTGGACATTCCCCTCTCCAGGAAGCCACTCCAGCCTCGTGCTATTTTTTCCTAGAAACGAGCCATTTCCCACCAATATGTCCACTGAGCCTTCTTCCTCTGCCACCAGCCCCATGCCACCCTGCTGAGCACAGGGACAAGCTCTGCCACAGCATCCCCAAGGCACTCTGCGGTGCCAGGAGCTCTGGGATGTGCACCACAGCTTTTCCCCTTGGAGAGCAGCTCAGTGGGGTGCCTGCCTGGTATCGGGGTCCCCAGCCAGGCCAGAGGGGGACACAGCGCCCCGGTGCCGGGCACCGCGGTGCAGCCGGGGCCGCTCGAGGCGAGCGCGCTGGAATGCGGCTGCCCCGGAGCCGGGACTTATAAGGCACGGGAGCGGAATGGGGCGGCGAGCTTGCACAACAGGGCTGCGGGAGGGGAAGGCGCGGAGCCCGGCGGCGGGGCTGGAGAATGGGCCGGGATCCTGCCCTCGCTGTCCCACACGGGCCGCGGAGCTGCTTTGGTCCTCGGCACGAAGCGCCAGGAACAGCAAGGGAGGAGAACTGGGAGAGAGAGATGTGCTCGCCTCGCAGGCAAGCGGGGCAGCCTCCACACCGCGGGGCAGAATCCCGAGAGAACGGGCTACTTCACTGCTCCGTGCCTCAGTTTCCCCTCCGCCGGTCAGAAGAGAGGTGGCAAAAGCCGGGGCTGCTGCCCTAGCAGAGCTCGGGTGTCCTCAGGCAGGACCGCACTGAGCCCCGGCAAAGGATGGGGCCAGGAGCTGCTCCAGCCCGGACAGCCAGAGCTTCCCACCCACTGGAGAGATGTTCGCCCATCCCCAGAGGGGAAAGAGGGCCTTGAACCTCCCCCAGCGCTTGAAGCAAGGCGGGCTTCAGGCATTTCCCTCCGAAAACAGCCTTT